AGGGAAGTGGAGAGCACAATGAAATGTGCAACTTCAAGCAGAGGGGAGTCTATTGAGAGAGAGGAAACAGCATTGGTGAGTGTGGGCCCCCAACCTGTGAAATAGGGGCTATAAGAGGGTGAGATGTGTTGAAGAGAGTAAGGAAGATTAAATATGGTCATAAAGGGTCTGGAGAGCTGATGTCTTCATAAGGAAGGAGATCAGATAGTCAGATATCTATCTCCCTTTCCTCCTCCCCCTCACTTCCAATACACAGGAATGGTCAGTCATATGGAGGCACAGTGAGAAGGTAAGGGTTTTCAGACCCAGAAATGACCATGGAAGAAAGCTGAATCTGCTGATACCTAGACCCAAGACTTGTAGCTTGAGAACTGCAAACAAGCTTATTTCTGTTATTTAAGCAGCCCAGTCTGTAGTATTTTGTTACGGCATGCCCGTTCTCTAATGATTTCTCAGGCCTTTTCCCATACTTCTTTTTAAAAATCTTTGTGAGTGTGTGTCTCATACACGCACACACACACACACACACACACACACAGTTGGGGTCCACCTAGGAGATAATTGCATCTCAGTCCCTGGGCTTTCCAGCTTTCTTCTTTCCCTAGTTCATGCTCCTTTCCTCTGGGTCTGACCAGGTTGCCTTCTCTCTAGTCCACACCTCTCAAGGCTTTCTCTGCCTTTCTATGATACGTGGATATGCTTCTGTGTTGAGCTCCTTCCTACGCACTCCCTGCCCACACAGGAGGCTCTTCTCTTGGCATAATTAAACAAAGAGGAAGATGGCTGGGAAGGCAGCCAGCTGGAGTCAGAGCAGACAGTAATGTTGGGCAGAGGAAAGAAAGCAGGGGCAGTCCTAGCCTTCTAGGTCCCTGAGCTTGTGCTGGGGGAGAGTAGAGCCACATGCCCAGGTGCCCTTGGCTGGATGATCACACTTTGTCAGACTGGGCCCTCAAAGCCGGTCAATGAAGGCCAGAGATCTACCAGGTCAAGGCCTCACTTGAGATGGAATAGAGCCAAAGGGAAGCCACTCAGAGAGAGTGTCCAAGGATGTCTCCAAATTATTAGCTTCTGGCACTCGTGTGGACCCTTCTGGTGAAGAGAGAAGTCTGAGAGCAACAGGCTGAAATTCTGAAACTGGGAAAGTACTTGTTAATTTGTTAATCTTGTAAAGAATCTGGGTTCAGCCCCCAGATCTCATAGGGTGGCTCATAGCCACCTGTAATTCCATTTCTAGGGCATTTAAAAAAATTCTTTTCACTTCTAAGGGTACCAGGCACACACACACACACACACACACTGAAATAATAAAGCTAAAAAACTTTTAAAGTCTGAGCAAGTGTTTCCACTGTCCAGTCAAGTCCATAGTTCCCTCCAATATTATCCTTGCCCTTCAAAGTCCATTTCTCCCTGGCTATTTCCCCTAGTTTTTGAAAGTAATGTAATTCTGAAGCCTGAAAGAGGGTTGTAACGGGAGGAAGAACCTGGCACCCTCTGCTGTCTAGATCTGGTACTGCCAGAAGAGCCCACAGGAGCTAGACAGCTATAGCCTCCAGATGCTCCTTGGCAAAATCACAGATAGAGGGACATGACTAACAGTGATAGATGACTAGATGACGGTCATTATGGGAAAATCTTTATCTACCAGGTACTGGTGGGAAGTTTATATTCATAAATAAATTCACATTTTATGTCTCTAGCATTTGCTTTCAAAAGCTCAGAAAGATTTTGTAGAACAGGCTGAGGGGTTCCCAGCTAGTAAGCACTACTTCAGAAGCAAACCTCAAGTCTGACTGGATACAATTATATGCTCTGTTCCACTGGCTATATTTCAGTCCAGCTTAACAGGTTCCCTGACTTGAGCCATAATTTTGATCCCAGCTTGACAACCCATCTCTGATTCCAGACTCAAGCCTAATGCCCCTGAGCCCCGAGCAAGAATCCATCCACTTTTCACCCCCTGTTCTTAGAGTTTGCATTAGCTCTTACCTAAGGGTGGATGGCTCGTCTCCATGTCACTCTGATTCCTTCCCAAGCTTGAGAAGTTATTTTCATATGTCTTTCAGGGCCAGCAGCCAAACACAAAGAAATAAAGAAAATAGAAAGAAAGAGGGAGGGAGAGAGAGGAGAGGGTAGCATGGGCTGATACATATATATTTTTTCTGCAGGACAGTAGCTAACTGGAAAAATAGGAGGGGTGAACACCTTCAGTTTTAGCCAGGCTAAGGTATTTTGCAGTTTTGACTCTTGAAGAGAAGACGATGAGGCCTCAGGTCTGCTGGAAGGGATGACTCCTAAGCCCTTGACATATTTTGACACTGGTGCAAATCTAGCAGCACACATGATGAAAATGTGTAGATGCCGGCCCTTTGTCCAGTGTAGCAGGTGGATTCTGCCTTTGTGGCTGTATCCTTGAGATCACACTTCAACACCCTGGGCAGCCTTGTCTGTGGGTCACAGCTTTGCTTTGCAGGAATGCCTTGGTCTCCCCTGGTTACCACAGTGACTGATCAAAAGCACTGTTCTTTGCAAAGGAAGGAGCTTGAATGGCTTTAGCCCCAAGCTGAGATTATCTCTTTCCTTTACAAATAAATAAAAAAGACAAACCTAGGTGTTCTTTCATCTGACTTAGGAGCCCAGTGATTTGGGGTATGCTATTTAGCCCCATAGTCTCAGTTTCTTCATTTAAATATGGAGATAATAATGATATCCTTCTCGTATGGTTGTAAGGATGAACTGAGGCAATGCACGTGGCTTAGAACCTGTCATGAAGTCATGAGCATAACAATAAACTTCCTAGCATTGTTACAAGAACAAAAGAGTAAAACATATGTATAGCAGTCACCAATGCCTCCTTAAGAGTGTGAAAAATACTATACATACCTTAGTTTTACAAATTTCATTGAAGTGTCTAGTCATCTAACTTTCAGAGGATTTGACCTCAGTTGTATTTTATGAATTCCTTTCTGTTTTCTCGCCCCTAACTTAGGGTCTTGCAAGTCTCTGGCCATCTGGGCAGAGTCTATCGACTTCTGGCAGGGCTGGCTGAGATGTGCTTGGTTCAAGCTTACACACTTTTAGGTGGTGCACTCTGAGGCTCCAGTGCCTCATGACACTGTGGTCATTCTCTAGTTTCCAAAAGACTCTACTCCAAGTTCATCCTATTCTATGTCGTCTGTGAAAGTGGGATCCAACGTGCTTCCTCCCAAGAGTGTATAATAGAAATAACAGAAATGTGGCCGTTATTACTTTTGTCTTCTGAATATGGCAAAGGGTGCTTTGCAGGGTATAATTAAAATTAATAGTTGGCTAACCTTGAAACAGAGAAATTATTCTGAATTATTCAGGCTGACTTGGCCTAGTGTGGGGCTCCATGAAGAAGGGCCTGTTGTGGAATATTTAACTATGTAAAGATGTTTTACATTTGCTTATGCTGTAGAGTATTATTTTAACTGTGTAAAGATGAGTTATGTTTGTTTATGCTGCATTTGTTTAATTGTACAAAGATGTGTTACATTTGTTTAATTATGTAAAGATATGTTGCTGTTTCACCTTGTCTGCCTAAGGTACCTGATTGGTCTAATAAAAAGCTGAATAGCCAATAGCTAGGGTAGAGAGGGATAGGTGGGGCTGGTGGGCAGGAAGAATAAGGTAGGAGGAAAAATAAGGCTTGAGAAGTGGGAAGAAGAAAATGAGAGAAAGAAAGAAAGAGACAGGCAGATGGCCAGAAGCCAGGCAGCCTCCAGCCAGCCAGACACAGAGTAGAGAGAAAGAAAGGGAGAAGGAAAGAAAGGAAGGAAGAAAGGCCAAAAGCCCTGAAGCAAAACATAGATAAAGAGAAACAGATTAAAATAAGAGCTAAGATAAGACCAATAATAATAAATCTCAGTGTCGTGAATTGGGAGCTGCTTGGTTGCTCAAAAGAAAAAGCCTGCTACCAGAGCCTTTCGTTTGCTTGGTCCTAGAAGTGGGATGTTTGGGTAAAAAGGTGGGGAGGGGTGCTTAAAGGAGGCATGCATCAGAAAACTAAAGAGCTAAGTCCTACAATCATGAGGGACAAACCCTCCCAAGAGCTGGGGTGAATCTGGAAGCAGAGTCTTCCCTGGAGCTAAGAGCCCAGCCCAGCTGACAGCAGAGCAGAGCCTAGATCTGAGTCACACACTGTGAGGCAATAAGTGGTGCTGTTTTAGGCTGTGAAGTTTGTGGTAAGATGCTGCAGCAAGGGGAAAAAAATAACAGAATCAAATCTTCAATTCCTGTTCCTTTAATTAGTCCTAAGGAATATTCTACCTTCCTACAGCATTGGGCTTCTATGTTTATGCTCTCCTCACTTTGTTATCAAATGTATATGTGTGCATGTGTACCTACTATGTACCAGGCAGTTTGGGCTGTGGCAACATAAAGATGAATGAGATAAACCCAGTGCCAAGCTTATGAACCTTAAATTTTATTAACAAATCACAAAATAATTACATATCTTAAAATGTTTTAAAGTGCAATAGCCCTCTTAATCTCTCCTGATAATGACAATTACCATTCACTTATGTCCCTAAGTTACACATCAGGTTCGTTTAACATTACCTGGCACAGCTCAGACCTGAAGTCTGGCAATGCCCTGACACAGCTGAAGTGGTGACCTAGAGTGAATGTAGTTCAGACATTATATCTGGCTTGTTTTCCTATAGCTCCACCAGCATGCCTCCTCTAAATGTACCAAGGTCACCCCAACACTCCCAGGGCAATCATCATTCTCTGTGATTGTGGGTTAAGTGAGTATAAGTCATAGTTATGTTTATGAGAATGTATGTGTGTGCAGAAGACATAAACATTTTCTGTGGAATTCAATCTTGAGCCAGTGAGGGTGTATGTGTGTGTGTGTGTGTGTGTGTGTGTGTGTGTGGGTGTGTGTGTGTGTGTGTGTGTGGGTGTGTGTGTGTGTGTGTGTGTGGGTGTGTGTGTGTGTGTGTGTGTGGGTGTGTGTGTGTGTGTGTGTGTGGGTGTGTGTGTGTGTGTGTGTGTGTGTGTGTGTGTTCTGGTGAGTATGGGACGAATGTATGCTATAACCCACATCTCTACCTAGGCATCTATAGACCAGTTTACCTAAGACTGTGTGACCTAGCAAATAGGATGATAGTTCTGAAGGCAAACTTTCCTACCATTCTGGATTCACTTGGAGCTGGGAGGCCTGTGTTCAGGATGAGGTCATTCTATGCCTGAGGATCCCTCCTGGCCAGCTTTTCCCTCTCCATCCTTGGAAGTTCCTTCCCCAGGCTCAGCCTCATCATCAGCCTCAGCCACGTCCTCTGGCATTGGCCACTCTCGAGTCTGCCACTCTAGCCTTTCGATGCGGTAAGCAATCTTCAGTGCGCTGGACTCCAGCTCAGCTAGTAGGCGAGCAAACTTTGTCTGTAGATCATCCAGCTGCTGGTCGAGGCCCTTTAGCCGAGACTCTGTGGCCTCCTGGAGAGCAATCTCAGCTGCTTCAGCATTCACATCCAATTTATTCATTTTGAGTAAGATCTCACGGCCCTTCTCCTCCATGACAGCCTGGGCCTGTGGATACTCACTCAGCACCTCCCGCAGATCCTCCTTGCTGAGGCAGAATAGGTCTGAATAACCTAGGCTCTTGATGTTGGCTGTTCGTCGGTTTCCTGACATGTTCCCTGTGGTCCAAGGGCAGACAGATGTAGGGAGGGACAGGAAGGTGGCATTTCACTCTGGAACCAGGATATAACCTCCATTCTGGTGCTTCTGACTCTCTTTTTCTGCTTTATTCATTTATTTAGTAATGTGCTGTGACCAAGCCCTGTGCTTATCATTAACCTGCTTTGATAGATGTTTAGTGGGTGAGTTGTATCACAACACGGCTGGTGCAGTAACTTTCAGCTGGTCTGCTGGCACTTCCTCTAGAGCCCATGGGACACATCTGCTTTGTTTTCTAAGACTCCACCCCACCCACTGACCTTGGCTCAGCTCCTCCTCAGGGAACAGATAATCCATATCCTGCTTCTTGCCTGAGTCCTGTAGCAACTCAGACAAAGGCCATATCATAATCTATGTGCTCCAAAGTACCATCTTGGCCTAGGGTTCTGGAATTCCCATTCCTCTGACCAGTCATGTCGCTAGAACTTCCCCTTGGGGACTCACCTTTGATGTTGATGATACTGATCTCCCCGAAGTAGAGCCCTGCACCAAGCACAGCATACTGTGTGACACCATCATCTGCCACTACAGCCAGCTGGCCCTCACGAATGATATACATCTCTCGGCCAATGTCCCCTTTGCGGCATACATATTCTCCTGGTGAATAGGTCTGGGGCTGTAGCTTCAGCACCAGCTCTTCCAGCAGGCTGGCTTCACAGTTTTGAAAGATCTGGACTCGGCTCAGGGTGGACAGGTGCACGGACACAGCAACCTCCGCCCGAAGTCGCTCAGGCAAGTGCTGCAAGATGGCTACCTCATTGGTCATCTTCTTGTTGATCTGCAGATGCTGGTACCTGAAACACAGTAAGTACCATTTCCTCACCAGAGCCCTGTGTGTCTGTCTCCACCCACTCCATCAGGACTCAGCTCAGTCAAGAACCACTGAGTTCTCATAGGAGCAATGGGAGAACCTCACACTTTTCTGGTCCCCTTTCTTGGTTACAGACATGATCTTTTCTACTTCCTGCAAGATGTGGAGGCACCTACCACTACTTCACCTCCTGTCAGGCCCCATCCCAGCCACAGTGTCCAAAGCACTTCTACATTGGGCTGCTTTAGTCAGCAAGCTCTTACCTTCTCAGACAGCTTTGTGGTGGCCCCTGACACTGAGACATTTCCTTTTATTCAGAACATAGTTTGCATTATTGTGATATAACCAACCATCTGTTGTCCATCTCCTGGCTGGATAGTTCCTTTCTCTACCCACTCCTTTCAGAGTCCCCAGAATCCTCCCATGCAGTGATAGCTCTCATTCTCTGGTCTCTGAGTTATTCTTGTACATAAATTACTTTTCTTGTCAGTCTTTTGCCCTCTCCCCTAGTCCAGATTCTCACAGTGGACCTACCAATGAGTGCTATCTTCCAAATGCCTGGTATAACCAGTAGGTAATGGGCTCAGGTCCCAAGGCATACCCTCCCCCTGGCTAGGTCTGCAACCAGCACTCTCACCAGTCAATAACTCTCCGCTCCAACCTCCGGTTGACATGCTGCAGCTTCATGTACTTCTTTACCAGAGCGTGGTCTGGGTAGAAGGCTGCATCTGCAGTGTTCATGTTGTAAATGACAGAGCTCATGCTACCCATGATGGTGGCAAAACCCATGACGGCCAGCAGGAAGTCACCCACCATGAAGAGGTACTCTTCCTCCCGAGCTGGCAGCGGTGTGTCACCCACAGTGGTCAGGATCAGAGTGGAGAAATAGAAGCTGTAGAGATACTGGCGCCGCAAGCGCTCGAAGCCAGGCTGTGCGGGATCTGGGTATACCCATGCATCCCGTCCGAAGCCCAGGTATCTGGACAGGGCAAAGTATAAGCAGCTGTTCCAATGAATGACAACAAAGATGTAGAGCATCAGCTTGGCGATACGGAAGGCATTTGGGTAAGCTGTGCGGGTCTCTGTGCGGTCAAAGGCCTCAAAGAGGCGGGGTACCCGGAGAAAGCGGTTTAGCCTGAGCGTGGGAATGTGGGGGCCCAGCCGCACATAGGCTGCATCTGTGGGGACCAGAGAAGCCAGGTCCAACAGGAAGCTCCAGGTGCGGACATAGCGACTGGCGATCATGCCTTTGTCCACCACCAGGATGCCCTGCTCTAGGAATCCTAGGAAGAAAGGAGATGGGCTAGGGTCAACTGTAGCCAGGTTGGGACAGGCCAGGCATGTCAGGCCAGACATGAGGCCAAGATGGAGGCAGGCATAATAACCCTCTCCACGGTTTCTGGGGTGAGCACTGTGGTGTTGTCAAACAGACGCACATGACAGTACAGTCCTAGAACTAGCTTCTTTCTTAACACGTTCTTTAAAGAAATGTGAGGAAAAGGTTAGCCCCAGAAACTCACCGACCTGTGTGGAAGCGCACCCCGATGTCTAGAAGGTACATCAGGTCACTCATGTAGTCCAGAACAAACCAGGCCACTAGGTAACTATGCTGCAAGTCAGGAAAGCAGGCTCTGCAGGGCATGGGCAGAAGGGATTGGCTTAAAGGTACCAACTGTGTGTAAGGGGGCTGCTAGGACAAGTCCCTCAGTACTCTTCCTTGAGCCCTTCCAGGGATGGTGCCCCTCCTTTAGGCCCTGCCCTCCCTGCCAATCCTTCTCCTTGGCTTCACTCTTTAGTATAGCTTAAGGCCCCCCTCATTTAGCACTCCTGACAAACCTGCATACAACGATGATGAGGTTATACATGACTGGGAAGACCATTGTGTTCAGCCACCAGTAGTAATAATCCCCAGATGGGTCTAGGACAGGCAGCCCCTTCCTGTAGGGAAGAAGGAACTCCTCTCATTTATCCACCAGACATTCAATGCTTGGGTTGTGATCAGGGCACCAAGAAGGCGGAGGCCCTAAGGACAGGTGATTAGATCCCCCCTCCTACCACAAGACCAGCCTTCTCACCTGGTTTTGGATGGGCCTGGGGGGCTGGACTCTGTTGTCTTCACTTTGCTGTCCTGGCTCATGGTTCTGTGGCTTGGTCCTAAGCCTGTGAATATTCAGTGCTTCTTGAGAACGTAGGGGCTAGTACCTGGCTTCCTGGAAGAGGCTGCCTCGGGGCTTCAGCTGTGTAGTCTCTATCTTTGAAGCTCTTAGCAACAGGACTAGGGCTAGCAGGTATGGTGTGGGTGGGTGGAGGCAATGTAGCTCCAGCACCCTTCCTTGTCTCCCAGGGCTGAGGCTGGTTTACACCTGCCCAGCTAAACACCTTTAATGAGGTCCCTGGGGATGGCTGGAGGAGGATGCTTTGGAAGGAAGCTTCACAGTCATTGCTGTCTTTTTTCATCTTTCCCTTAAGCCCATGGTATTAAGTTAGGAGATTCAGCCAGCCCTCACCATAGGTTTGAATTCTGTTTTATCTTATGTACATTCACCATTTGGGCCTAGTTATTTATTTAACAATGATGTGCCAAGAGGCTCATTTGTGTCAGGTGGTAAACTAGTCTCTAGGGACAAAGGGGTGCCTCTCACATCAGAGGTGTTTTCATTAGCTACATCTTTATCTACATACATATCACCTAATCTTCTGGGGTGTATGTGTGTCATCTTATGCTACTTTGCCCTCATTAATGCTGTGAAGAGACCCATGACCATGACAACTCTTATAAATGAAAGCATTTAATTAGAGATTGCTTACAGTTTCAGAAGCTTGGCCCATTTATCATCATGGCAGGGAGCATGGCAGCAGACATGGCAGGTATGGTGCTAGAGAAGTAGGTGAGAGCTATATCCTGATTCATAGGCAGAGGGGGAGGGTGGCATGGGCTGCTGAAACCTTAAAGCCCATCCCTAGTGACACACTTTCTTCAACAAGGCCACATCTACTAATCTTTTTAATCTTTTCAAATAGTCCCACTCCCTGGTGACTAAACATTCAAATATATGAGCCTATGGGGGTCATTCTTATTCAAGCCACCACAGTCACTTTCAATCTACTGTATCTGTACCTTTTTTTATATTAACATTTTATTTATTTATTTATTTTACATTTCAATCCCCGTTCCTCCTCCCTCCTCTCCTCCTGCTCTCCCCACTTCCCCCACCCCACCTCTCATCTGCTCCTCAGAGAGAGTAAGACTTCCCCTAGGAAGTCTAAGTCTGTCCCATCATCTGGTTGAGGCAGGACCAAGGCACCTCCCCACCCCTACCCCCATGTGCCTAGGCTGAGCAAGGTATCTTTCCACATAGAATGGGCTCCACTAAGCCAGTTTGTGCATTAGGTCCTGGATGCACTGTCAGTGGCCTCATATTGTCCCAGTCACATCACTGTCAACTGATTAGAGTATAGAAAGAGTGATGTTGTGTGATATCTGAGGCTAGAGCCTCAATGACTATATTGCTACTTTCTGGGTTTCTTGGGATGCATGTTGTGTGATAACTCCCTCTTAGGATCTTTGCTCTTTCTGAGAAATTCTGGAAGTCTGAGCTGAGTTCAGCTTTTCAATTGCCCCAACCCAGGCATAGTACATATGACTGAAGAAGCCTTTAGGTCAGCAGTTCTCAACCTGTGGATTGAGACCCTTTTGGAGGTTATGTGTCAGATATCCTGCATATCAGATATTTACATTATGATACATTACAATAGCAAGACTCATAACTGGAGGTAATCCTTTAGACTGAAATTACCATTTTTCTTCTTTTTGAGTACTTTTTACTTTGAACCAACTTTACACTTATAGAAAAGTCGCAAAAGTAAAGTTTTAAACTCTTTACCCAGGTTCCTCTGTCATCCATCACTTTATGTAATTATAGAATAATGATCACAATCAAGTAACACTGATATAATACTTCCAACAGACTCTGTAGGAAACTATTTCTCTACAAGCGTTTCTCTAAGCGTTCTCCAAGCGTTTCTTTCTTGTTTCAGCCAACATCTCCTCCGGGAAGCCATCTCTCAGCCCCTTCATCCTCTAAGCGCAGAAATCATGCCAAGTGCTGATTCTAGATGCTTCTCCTTTTACAGTCTTAATACTACCTTGTAACTGCTTGGGACCGGTTCTAATGAATCAGGATTCCAGGCTGTCATGTGGGAACTTATTTCGCGTTCTACTGGGACATGGAAGCTTTGGGAGAGCCAGGAAGAGGCGGTCCCCGCGGGTAGGAAGGTAGAATCCAAGCTGAGTGCACAAGTAAGTCTGGCAAAAATAAACTACCTTCGTGGCAGTCAGCCTAGTCTAACATCGCTTTTCCACAGGCCCTGCCCACAGACTGGCCCTTGGCGTGGCCTTCAGAGGAAGCCCCGCCCACTTGGCGCAAAAGTACCGCCCAGGACCTGTGGTCCCGCCCCCTCGCCCTCGTCCGGGACCTTCAGCCGTGTGCCTTCCAAGGCCAGGTTGTTCTGGCCTCAGAGGCCTCTCCCTCCCTAGAAGCAGCCTTCTCCTCTCTATTTCGAATTTTTCTCCTCAGGCCCCGCCCCTGCCCGCAGGCCTCCGCCTCTTCTCAGGTCCGCCCCTATGAAACGCCGGAATCCTCAGAAGGGCGGAGTCTGAGGCGGAAAGGGGCGGGGCCTGGGGGGAGGGTAAGG